CTAACTCGTAGACTAACAACTGCTGCGAGCTACGATGTGTACCCTAAGTGACGAGCGAAAATAGATCTAGACTGTCGCTTGGTATGAACTGTCTGGATCGACTGTCGATGAGGAAATCTCATCCCCGCTAACTGATTGAGTGACAATCGCGCCAAGCTGTATACGGTGGAAACAAAATTCAAACACCATGTAACAAGACCGAAAAAAATTGGTGTTACTATATTCGAAATATGTGTTTCGTAACAATAAGTTTTGAAGTGTCAAACATCCGGGCAGTTTTTCCCACCACTGTATGTATAAGTCGACTCACCCCCTAGGCTAGACTAGGGATAGTGCCTTGCAAGAGACACGCAGCTCAGGGCGGCACTACTTCGACCATTGAGGAAAGGGTCTAACAAGAGTAGCCCAGTGAGGCAAGAGTAACCCAAGGCACTAGTAGTCAGCAAGAGTACAAGCTAGACAAGAGTAACCCAGGGCGGCACTATCGTAAACGCCCAGATAGAAGACACCTATGTCTTACCATATACCAAGCAAGAAAGTGGTGAAGTTTCTTAAAAACAGAAAAAAATCAGGGGGTCTGGGCTTCTTGTAAATGGAAAAAATGCTTATAAACGGAGCCCTTTTTTGGTGGGCAAAAAGCGCTAACCGGGTTTGTCGGGAGTGTACGTCACTTGAGTGTCATACTGACTGAAAATGTTCGTCTTATAAATGGAGAGACCGAATACAAGTAAATGCCTAATGCAAGACATAGTGTCTTCTATTCCATGGGGGTCTTCTATCCGGGCGTTTACGGTACTATCCAGCTACTAGAAAAAGAGCCACAAGGTCAGTCAAGAAAATATGAGTAGTACACAATCATGATCCTAGCAAGTGAGGAGCTACTTAAACTAGACCAAGCTGTACACAGTGCCGCTGATGATCTTTAGGTGCAAGCGCCTTTGTAAAGATATCAGCTCTGTTGGCACCGGAGGCCAAGTGTATTATGCGGGCCTGAAGGCGCTGCTGTAGCTCGCGCAGGAGGAAGTACCACAGCTGAATGTGCTTTGCTCTCCCCTCTAGTCAAGGCTCCTTACACAGGAGGATCATGGCCCTGTTGTCAGCGTACAAGACTAGTGCAGAGCTAGGCTGCTCACCTAAGTTAGTGAACAAGATCGTCAGCCATCGGAGCTCCTGTGCCTCCATGGCACCAGCGTAGATCTCAGATTCTCAGCTGGACTGGGCAACCGATAGCGAGCGGGTGGACCTCCATGAAATGGCGCATGCACAAAGGCTAAAGACGTAGCCCTGGGAGGAACTGAGAGTCTCAGCGTCGTCAGCCCACGAAGCGTCGGTGTGCCCAGTGAGAACCACTGGACTGCGTCCTCCTAGCACTAGCCCCATGCCCGATGTACTTGCTAGATAGTGCAAAACCCTCTTACGCCGTTTCGCTGTGACGCTGTGCCGCCGTGCTGCCGTGTCGCTGTACCACCGTGGCGCCGTGTCGTCGTGTCGCCGTGCCACCATGCCGCCGTGTCACCGTGCTGCCGTACCGTTGTGTCACCGAGCCGCCGTGCCACCGGGTCGCCGTGCTGCCGTGTTGCCGTGTTGCTGTGGCGCCGTGTTGCCGTGTCGCTGTGCCGCCGTGTCGCCGTCCTGCCATGCCGTCGTGCCGCCGCGTCGCCATCAGCCGCTAAGGTCATGGGATGGCAGACGCTGTGCTCCGCCTGGACATTGAGGGTCGGACGACCGACTTCAAGGTGTGGCTCGTTGACCTTCGTCGCCAGCTGACAGGTCAGCATCAGGACGGCTATTCCCTGGCTGTTCATGTCGACGGCAAGCTCCCCCACCACGACGCTCCTGCTGCCCTCCCTGACACCCCCACCACTACTGAGCGTGAGGCCTTTTCCGTTGCTGAGCTTGCTCGCGCTGTCTGGCAGTCGCGCGACGCCGTAGTGCAACTTGCTATTAGTCACATTCTCCCCCTGTCTGAGCGTCCCTACTTTCCAGCTGTAGCGAATGCGAAGGAGTACTTAGATGCAGTCACTGCGCGTTATTCCACTCCTTCCTCCGCCTCTACTGGCCGCCTGATCCTCCCCATGCTATTCCCTGATCTTGCGTCCTTCCCCACTGTCGCTGATTATGCCACTCATCTCTGCGCACTAGAGACTAGCTACCGCGGTGCTAGCACTGAGGCCCAGCTAGTTGCATGCCCTCCTCCCCTTTGTGCTACCCTTTACCTCATTCCCACGCGCCTTACTGACGGCCTCGCCACTGCTCGCGACCACTTCCGTAGTCATCACCCAGATGAACTCACCCTTACTGCCTTTGTCAGCACCCAATCTGCGACAGAGACCTGCCAGTGCACTATCGCTCAGTCTAGTGGTACTGTGGCGATCCCTATCTTCTAGGGTTGTGCTCCCTCCCTGTGCACTTACTTTGATGTTACTGCCGCTGTCGCTGAGACAGCCCCTGCTGCTGAGACAACCGCCACAGCAGCCTCCACACAGCCTCGTCAGGGTAGGGGCTGCTGCCCCAGGGGGGGGCGTGGCGGAGGGAGGGGTGGTGGGGGTGGCGGTGGTAGAGCGAGTGCCGACGGTGCTGACGAGGGGACCGGGGCTGATCCCCCGGAGCAGCAGCAGTCACAGCCGCAGCCGCAGCACCAACCGCAGCACTCGCAACAGCAGCAGCAGCAACCGCTGTGGGGCCGTCTCCCTCAGAGGCTCGGTCGCACTTGGTTCTCTCACACAGTCACACTTGGTGCACCAGGTCCTTAAGAGGTTCGGTCTTCAGTTCTCCTCCGCACGGCCCACACCTTTGCAAGTAGACCACAGGCTCTCAGCTCCAGTCCCTGATGAGCCGGTAGACCCTAGTGGTCCTTACGCTGAGCTGGTGGGTTGCCTCATGTTACCTGATGACTTGCACTCGTCCACATCTTGCATACCCTCTCAGCATTCCCGCTCGCTGAGAGGCAGACACCGACCACAACACTAGTAGGCCACTAAGAGGGTTTTGTGTTATCTAGCAAATACATCGGGCATGGGGCTAGTGCTAGGAGGAAGCAGGCCAGTGGTCCTTACAGGGCGCACAGACGCTTCGTGGGCGGACGACGCTGAGACGCTCAGGTCCTCCCAGGGCTACTGCTTTAGCCTTGGTGCAGGCGCCATCTGGTGGAGGTCCACATGCTTGTCGCCTACTGCACAGTCTAGTTGTGAGGCCGAGATCTACGCTGGTGCAATGGCGGGACAGGACCTTCGCTGGCTGACCTTCTTGCTCACAGACTTAGGTGAGCGGCCGAGCTACTGCAGCGCCACGAGCAGGGCTGACTTTATCAGACTATTTACTCTGATTAGTCTGAAATCTCAGACCTGTTTTTTGGCCAAACCTGAATTTCCAGATAAGGCATTTTCCCAATCCTGATCCCTTCAGAGTACGATTCTAGGGATCCTGAGAAAATCAGAGTTGTCGCTAACCCAGTACTGAGTTTTCAGAGCACATCGCGTACAGACCCTGACTCATTACCTGTACAGTACCAACCTTCGAAAAATTTGGTGAAGTCCCCAATCGCTAGAGACATGCCCCACATACCCCACAACCCCTAAAAATTTTCGGCCAAGTCCCCGAACCCTAGAGACAACCCCCACCCCACACCCCACAACCCATCTAAAATTTCGGCGAAGTCCCGGAACGCTAGAGACATCCCCCACACACCCCACAACCCACCCTAAATTTCGACTAAGTCATGTTGTCAGATACAGTCCTCCCTAACACCTGGAACAACCCAGAAGTTTTGAATGAGACTTTCACTTTTTTTTGAACTGCATTGAAATGAGAGTAAATTCCGCATTTTTAACATAGGGAAATTCTCGCCAGTTGCCCGTTTGGTCAACTGAAAGTCTAACAAAATGTAACGGTCACGATCGTTTGCGATCGTTTCGACGTATATCAATCGTTCGATGTTATATAGCGATTAACGTCCAAGATTTCCCAACCGGGGCGCTGCAAGGGCGCGAAATTTCTCCCACCCTCCTATTCCCCAGCTTCCCCCCTCCCTGCCGTTTCGATTCCCCCCTTCCCCTCCATTTTCGCTTCCCCCCTCCCCTCCGTTTCGATCACTTCCCCCCTTCCCCTCCGTTTCGCTTCCCCCATCCTCTCCGTTTCGACCGTCCCCCCCCTTCCCCCCCCTCCCCTCCGGTTCGCTTCCCCCCTCCCCTCCATTTTGATTCCCTCCCCCATTTCCCCGTCATTTTCTATTCCCCCTCTCCTCGGTTTCGATTTCCGTGGCAGTGCGATTTTACCCCCTCGGTTTTTAGGAATAACTTCCCCGTTTCCCACATTTAACAACTACGCAAAACGAGGGTGGACAAGGTTGCTGGTTGGGGGGGCGCGGGCTGTGGGAGGATTTTTAATGCTGCAAGGAACTTAGCCGATTTTTTGGGAAATGTAGGAGGGAGGGATGTTTCTCGCTGTGGGGGTGTTTCCCGTGTGTGATTCTGGTTGTACGTCCTGGACCCTGAAAAAATCAGACTCGCTGAGTTCTGGACCCTGACATTTCAGACTACAAAAATTTCGGCTGAAGGCCCTTCAGACTATTTTTTTTTTGGGTGGGATTGGCTCAGAGTGCCTTTTTTTGAAACGTCAGCCCTGGCCACGAGGCCCGCATAGTACACGTGGCCTCTAGTGCCAACACAGCTGATATCTTTACAAAGGCGCGTGTGTCTAAAGATCATCAGCGGCAATGCGTATAGCTTGGCCTAGTTCCTGTAGCTCCTCACTTGCTAGGGCCTTGATTGTGTACTACTCTTTTATATATTCTCCTAACTGGCCTTGTGGCTTTTGTTCTAGTGGCCGGACTAGTAGTGCCGCCCTGGTTTGCTCTTGTCTAGTTTGTACTCTTCTGACTGGTCTTCTGACCCTTGCCTCAGAGGTTGGACTAGAAGTGCCACCCTGAGCTGTGTGTCTCTTGCCAAGCACTGCCCCTTGTCTAGCCTAGGGGGTGTGTCAACATATAGTTGTATATGTTATAGGCTAGATAGGTGCATGCCATAGTGAGTACAACACCTGGCACAAAACTACCGTCTTAGTCAACGTGTTACCTTGAGAAAGCTCTCTGTTGCACTGCAGCAGCATTACCGGCCGCATTACCCTGATACATCCCCCGTGCAGGGCTTGATCAATGGGTGGGTTGAGACCCATACCCTGATTCGCACAGCAGGGATACCCAGTCCTCATTCGCATGGTGTTGTATCTAGTCATAGCAGAATGCCCCCTACCCTTTAAGCCTTTTCTCCCGTTACCAGTCGCATTACCCTGATATCTGCTGAGCAGGGCTTGATCAATGAATGGTTCGAGACCCATGCCCTCATTTGCACAGCAGGGATACCCTGATTGGCATGGCATGGCATCTAATCATTGCAGGATGCCCCCTACCCTTTGAGCTCCTTCTCCTTGGCCTCGCAAATCGCGTCCAGCTGCTTCTTTGCTGCAGCCACTGCCTCCTCCACCTGCCACACACAAGCACAGCATAGTCGGAGTATTGCGGTACGAGAAATTGTGTCAAGTCAGCGCCCCTGGAGCTGCTTCGTTGCTGCAGCCACTGCCTCCTCCACCTGCTGCAGAGAGGGAGAGACGTTGCAGGAGAGAGTTAAGGGGGGCAAAGGGGGGAGGGTGGGGGGGTATTGAGGGGTGAGGAATACGTCAGTTGTTCAGCGCCCCTGGAGCTGCTGCTTTGCTGCAGCTGCTGCCTCCTCCACCTGCCGCACAGAGGGTGAGCAGTGGCGTGACAGAAACAGGGGGAGCGGGTATTGTGGGGTGGGGAACAAGCCAGTTGTTTGGCGGCTCTGGGCGGATACTGTCGGGTGGGGAATGGGCCTAGTCAGTCACTAACTCAAACCATAGCCCCTGAATCGACTTGCCTTTACAGTTGCCCTGGAGTTGCCCCTGGAGGGTTGGGGAACAAGCAGGCTGGGGAAGGTGGGAGGGGAACAAGCAAGCTGGGGAAGGTGGGGGGGGAACAAGCAAGCTGGGGAAGGTGGGGGGGGAACAAGCAGGCTGGTGAAGGTGGGGGGGGAACAAGCAGGCTGGGGGAGGTGGGGGGGGAACAAGCAGGCTGGCGAAGGTGGGGGGGGAACAAGCAGGCTGGGGAAGGTGGGGGGGGAACAAGCAGGCTGGGGGAGGTGGGGGGGGGAACAAGCAGGCTGGGGGAGGGGGGGGGGGAACAAGCAGGCTGGGGAAGGTGGGGGGGAAACAAGCAGGCTGGGGAAGGTGGGGGGGAACAAGCAGGCTGGGGGAGGTGGGGGGGGAACAAGCAGGCTGCGGGAGGTGGGGGGGGAACAAGCAGGCTGGGGGGGTGGGGGGGGAACAAGCAGGCTGCGAGAGGTGGGGGGGGGAACAAGCAGGCTGGGGGAGGTGGGGGGGGAAAAAGCAGGCTGGGGGAGGTGGGGGGGGAACAAGCAGGCTGGGGGAGGTGGGGAGGGGGAACAAGCAGGCTGGGGGAGGTGGGGGGGAACAAGCAGGCTGGGGGAGGTGGGGGGGGAACAAGCAGGCTGGGGGAGGTGGGGGGGAACAAGCAGGCTGGGGGAGGTGGGGGGGAACAAGCAGGCTGGGGGAGGTGGGGAGGGGAAACAAGCAGGCTGGGGGAGGTGGGGGGGGAACAAGCAGGCTGGGGGAGGTGGGGGGGGAACAAGCAGGCTGGGGGACGTGGGGGGGGAACAAGCAGGCTGGGGGAGGTGGGGGGAAAACAAGCAGGCTGGGGGAGGTGGGGGGAGAACAAGCAGGCTGGGGGAGGTGGGGGGGAACAAGCAGGCTGGGGGAGGTGGGGGGGGAACAAGCAGGCTGGGGGAGGTGGGGGGGGAACAAGCAGGCTGGGGGAGGTGGGGGGGGACCCATGCCTTCTTCTCTGCTCGCTTGCGCCCATCATCAGCGTTATGAGATGTCTCGAAACCGTGTAATAATTACAGTGTTTTGAGATGTCTCAAAGCATGGGGGAGGGTGCGGAAACAAGCAGGCTGGGGGGGGGGGGGGGGGGGGGCAGGCAAACCATACCTTCCTCTCTGCTCGATTGCGCTCACGGATCACATCGGCTGCTCTCTTAATTGCTGGTGCTACAGTGTGGTTCGGTGTGGCGTATGTGGTGGTTGTGGTGCTGTGCAGTGCAGTGCAGTGCAGTGCAGTGCGGTGAAGGGTGACTAAGTGCCTTCTTCTCTGCTCGATTGCGCTCATCCTAAAGGAACTCATCGGCTGCTCTCTTGATATCGCAGCCGGATGCAGTGTGGTATTGTGAGACATAATGCGCAGTGCAGTGCGGTGGAGAGGGATAGACAGTACCTTCTTCTCTGCTCATTTGCGCTCATCCTCATGGATCACATTGGCTGTTCTCTTTATTGATGGTGGTGCAGTGTGGCTTGGTGCAGGTGGTTGTGGTACAGGTGGTTGTACCTTTGTCTCTGCTCGTTTGCGCTCATCCTCGCGGATCACATTGGCTGCTCGTTTGCAGTGCGGGACCGTGAGGAACAATTCGGTGCAGAGTGGTGGAGAGGAATAAACAGTACCTTCTTATCTGTTCGCATGTGCTCATTCTCTGGGATTACGTCGGCTACTCTCCTTAATTGCGGAGAGATGCAGTGTGGTGCGGAACAGTGAGGAACAATTCAGTGCAGTGCGGTGCAGTGCGGTGGAGAGGGATAAACAGTACCTTCTTCTCTGCTCGCTTGCGCTCATCCTCAGGGATCACATCGGCTGCTCTCTTTATTGCGTCCATTCCCTATAAGAACAAACAGGAGAGGATGAAAGAGAACGGGCACAGCAGGTGCGTCAACAGTGATAGGCTTTTTAGAATTCTAAAAAACCTGTGCACACCAACAGGAGAGGATGCAAGAGAAAAGGTAGAGCAGGTGTGTCAACAGTGATAGGCTTATAAAAAACCTGTACACACCAACAGCTGCAGGGTGCAAGAGAGAGGTGGCACAGCAGAAAACGGTCAAGGGGTGGTGGTGTCACTTCTCAAGTGCATCAAACTTGGGGGAGTGCATAGTGGCTGGTCACCCATAGCTCCAAACCTTTTATACCAGATTGCTCATCAATTTGACGGTTTTCAACAGATAATCCGGAGCAAAAGAATACAATGTATGGAGAGTAAATGCAGTAATATACAAGGTGACTTTTAAGGCGATTCAAAAGGCCAAAGAAAACAGTTAGTGGAGGGTGAATGCAGCAATATACAGTACACGCATGCACAATAAAAGAACGCCAAGGCATGCAGTTATTACCTCTTTCCTTGCTCGTCTAAGGCTGACCCTCGCAGACTCTGCAGCCTTCTGGGCCAACTTGAACATTGCCTGGGCGGGGAGAGGAGAGAAGGAAGGAGGGAGAGGAGAGAAGGAAGGAGGGAGAGGAGAGAAGGAAGGAGGGAGAGGAGAGAACAATGAAGACTTTCAACTGAACCTCGCAGAATCCACAGCCTTTTGGGCCAACGTGAACATCGCCTGGGAAGGGAAAGAAGAGAAAAGAAGAGAGGAGAGGACAACTAAGACTGTCAACCGAGCCCTGCTGCAGCCTCTGCTGCTTGCTGGGCCGACTTGAGCAATGCTTAGGAGGGGAGAGGAGAGACAAGGATGGGGAAGAGGATAGGACAAGCAAGGGGAGAACGAGAATATTTTCTGTTAAACCTTGCAGCCCGAAGTGGTGATTTCCGCATTTAGAAATTGTTAGACAAGCTGCCAGCCACTGCTGCTTTATCGTTTGAGCCAGATTTTCAATTATTTCTATGAATCACTTGATTGTCAGCTGAGAGATGCACGACAGCAGGGCGTGGGTGGGTGTACAGCAGTGGAGCTTGCAGGCGATGTAGTGCCTGCCATGGCTGACGTACTGGGTGCTGTTTGGTGTGCTGTGCAGTGAACAAGAGTGCAATGCGGTTTGGAAGTGTCTGGTGCAGTGAGGAAATGTGCGTGCAGTGCGGTCTCACCTCTCTCACTTCGGTGGTCAGCCTTGAGAGAAGTCGAAGGGGCAAGGAAAACGGGGAGAAAGAAAGGGAGAGTAGGAGAGGGGGAAAGGAAAAGCATGGAAAGGCAAGCAGGATAATCAGGGAAGAACAGAGAAAACAAATGAAGTGAATGAGGAGGATGGGTAGAGAGGAGGATACAAAATACTCGCATTGGAAAGGGTAGAAGTCCTAGTTGAGTCAACAACTGGTTTGAGTTCAAATTGTCCCATTTGAACAATGTGGGCTCAGCAGCCCGAGTTGAGTTGGAAACTCGTAACTCCGGGAGTAGATTATGTGCGGAATTGAATTTTCAGCACAGAGACATTGATGCTTGAAGGCATCTCAAGCAGGCAGGCACTTCATGGCATGGCATGGCATGGCACTGCATGGAATGGCATGGTACTGAGTGACGTGCAGTGCCATATAAGCAGATACGCACGTGGGAATCGTAACGTGGATGAGTGCATGTGAGGTGTGGTGGGGTGGGATGGGTGCGCACTTGATTGTGCGATATCATAGCCTGGCGCGATTGGCATGGCATGCAGCCAGTTAAGTGCCTAAGTGGGTGAGAGGATAGCTCACAGCCACTCACCTGGGATGACTTTTGAGTCGACTCATAAGTGGGTGAGAGGATAGCTCACAGCCACTCACCTGGGATGACTCTTGAGTCGACTCATAAGTGGGTGAGAGGATAGCTCACAGCCACTCACCTGGGATGACTCTTGAGTCGACTCATAAGTGGGTGAGAGGATAGCTCACAGCCACTCACCTGGGATGACTCTTGAGTCGACTCATAAGTGGGTGAGAGGATAGCTCACAGCCACTCACCTGGGATGACTCTTGAGTCGACTCATAAGTGGGTGAGAGGATAGCTCACAGCCACTCACCTGGGATGACTCTTGAGTCGACTCATAAGTGGGTGAGAGGATAGCTCACAGCCACTCACCTGGGATGACTCTTGAGTCGACTCATAAGTGGGTGAGAGGATAGCTCACAGCCACTCACCTGGGATGACTCTTGAGTCGACTCATAAGTGGGTGAGAGGATAGCTCACAGCCACTCACCTGGGATGACTCTTGAGTCGACTCATAAGTGGGTGAGAGGATAGCTCACAGCCACTCACCTGGGATGACTTTTGAGTCGACTCATAAGTGGGTGAGAGGATAGCTCACAGCCACTCACCTGGGATGACTCTTGAGTCGACTCATAAGTGGGTGAGAGGATAGCTCACAGCCACTCACCTGGGATGACTCTTGAGTCGACTCATAAGTGGGTGAGAGGATAGCTCACAGCCACTCACCTGGGATGACTCTTGAGTCGACTCATAAGTGGGTGAGAGGATAGCTCACAGCCACTCACCTGGGATGACTCTTGAGTCGACTCATAAGTGGGTGAGAGGATAGCTCACAGCCACTCACCTGGGATGACTCTTGAGTCGACTCATAAGTGGGTGAGAGGATAGCTCACAGCCACTCACCTGGGATGACTCTTGAGTCGACTCATAAGTGGGTGAGAGGATAGCTCACAGCCACTCACCTGGGATGACTCTTGAGTCGACTCATAAGTGGGTGAGAGGATAGCTCACAGCCACTCACCTGGGATGACTCTTGAGTCGACTCATAAGTGGGTGAGAGGATAGCTCACAGCCACTCACCTGGGATGACTCTTGAGTCGACTCATAAGTGGGTGAGAGGATAGCTCACAGCCACTCACCTGGGAATGGGAACAAGGATGACTGTATGGGAGGTGTGAGATGGGTTTCAAGCCTGATGGTATGGTGCGCTAGTATGACATGCTGGACAAGCACTCACCTGGGAATGGGGACGAGGATGACTGTGTGTGAGGTGTGCGATGGGTTCAGCCCCATGGGCGACTCCTGCAGGCCCTTCATTGCCGCTCCTAGCAGCTGGAGAATGGGAGGAGCAAGAGGGGGGATGAGGGAGGGTAAGAGAGAGAGGGAGAAGGAGGGTGAGGTGAGGAAAACGATCGGATAGAAAGGAGGACAATGCGAAGATAGGTAGAGCCGAGAGAGAAAGGAGGGCGGGATGGGGGGAGGGGAGAGGGGGAGGAGGGTGGGGGAGGGGAGGTGGGGAGGGAAAGGGGGGAGGGGAGCGGGGTAGGGGAGCAGGGGAGGGGAGGGGGGGAGAGGATACTCACAGAGGCGTCGTGGAGGGTGACTGAGAGCAGCTGGGGGTCCTTGACTGTGACTGTGGCCACTCGTGACAGAGGCGAGGGGCGGCCATAGGCCTCTATGTGCACGTGGTCTAGCAGGCCTGTGCCGTGACGATAACAAGGGGTAACAGTAAAGAGTCATATGTAACGACACATTTTGAAAAGAGGGTCATAAAGGAAGGGGATTATTATCACTATGTGACTCAAAGAGCATGTGACTAAAACACCATGTGTCTGAGTCAGCAAATTAACAGCCTTTCTCACCATCACCAATCAATAAAACCAAATATCATCAGGGGCGACACGGCCTGTCCTTATCTCTCCAGGGGCAGCGCAGCCCGTCTTTATCTTCGCCAGCTCGCCTCCTTGGCCTCGTCCACATGCACCGTCACCAGATCTACCGCCCCCTGCACTGCCCCATGCACTGCCCCCAATGCACTGGCTCCTCTGCTTCCTCTTAGTAGCAACGAGACTAGTACGGGGCTGAAACAGGACGATTATGCACCCACTGCTACCTTGCACTGCCCCATCCCCTCCCCCAAACACACTCCCCTCTGCACTGCCCCCCTGCACTGCCCCCCTGCACTGCCCCAAGCACGGCCCGTCTATCACTCACCAGGGGCGGCACGGCCCGTCCTTATCTCACCAGGGGCGGCGCGGCCCGTCCTTATCTTGGCGAGCTCTTTAATCAGCGCCTCCTTGGCCTCATCCACATGCACCTTCACCAGATCTACCGCCCCCTGCACTGCCTCCTCTCCTCCCCCCTCCCCTCCCCCTCCTCCTCTCTCGCCCCTCCCGCCCTGCCTTTCTTTCCACTCCCCGTCTTCCCAGAAGCTTCCGTCCTGTCCTTCCCTTTCTTCTTGCCTCCTGCCTTTGATCCCCTGTCCCTCTCCTCCTCTTCCTCCTCCCCCTCTTCTTCCCTGTTCTTATCGGCCTTTGCGTGCTTCTTGTGAAGCTTGTCTGGAAGAGTGAGGGAGAGGGGAGGGGAGGGGGGGGAGGGGGGCCTTTGCTGGTTCTATGGGCCTTTGTGTGTTTCTTGTGGAGCTTGTCTGAGAGAGCGCGGGTGGCTGGGAAAAGGAGGGACTGGGAGGGGGAAAGGGGGAGAAGAGGAAGGTGGGGGGAACGGGGGAATGGATAGAATGGAAAGAGAAGAGGAGTAGAAGCGTCGGAGGAGTGCAACTTGGTCGCATAAGGCCTTTTCAGACGTCTCAAAACTGAACTATTATTGCACGGAAGGGGGGTTGGGGTAAATAGAATGAAAAGAGCAGAGGAGTAGAAGCTTTGGAGCAAGGCAACTTGGTCACATGGATGGAGCCACCATCTTGGGATAAACAACCTGGCTGGTGCGGGCACACTCGTTACTGACTGCAATACCAGCACACTTGCAACAGTCACGCACCCGTCGCCAGAGGGAGTGGGAAAGCCAGCGCGTTGGGGGGGTTGCCCACTACTACCACCCCCTCCTCCCTAGGCTCGTCTGACTCACTCACTGACCGACCGAACACAGACCCACTCACTCACTCATCCACTCATCCACTCACTCACTCACCCACTCACTCACTCACTCACTCACTCACCCACTCACTCACTCACTCACCCACTCACTCACTCACTCACCCACTCACCCACCCACTCACTCACTCACTCACCCACTCACTCACTCACCCACTCACTCACTCACTCACCCACCCACTCACTCACTCACCCACTCACCCACCCACTCACTCACTCACTCACCCACTCACTCACTCACTCACCCACTCACTCACTCACTCACCCACCCACTCACTCACTCACCCACTCACCCACCCACTCACTCACTCACTCACCCACTCACTCACTCAACCACGTGTTACTGACTGACCATCCCTGTCATAACTCATAAGCACACTCGCAACCGTCACATACCCGTTCGTCGGTGGGAGTGGGAGAGCCACCGCCATGGGATCACCGAGACTGCGGATGGAGCGACAGCTGGCGGAGCGGTATTGGTGAGGTCGATGCGAAGCGGTTGAGCGGCGAATGGGGGAAGTGGGGACCCGGATAGTCCGAAAAGCGCGGGCGTGACACCTGGACGGCTCGGCGCGCTGGTATGTGTGCTACCGCTGGGAAAGCGGCAGGCTTGTGGCAGACACGTGTCAGTAACGGGCGATGAAAACGACGGAAAAGGTGAATCTACGGCTTTATCTGCGAAATCGACGGTTGCTGTGAGCCGGCCTTCACTAGGTGCGGCGGCAGAGGGACGGAGTCGAAACGCCCTTTCCGGACCGCAACGAGCGGCGATGGCGACCTGCACAAGGCGGCGCGAGCTACGGAACGCCATCGCTGCGCCTCGAGCCTCGTAGCTGCCTGTAGAGCCTTGTGGCCTTGGCAAGCTCTAGCGCCTGTGGAAAGTGCGGGATTTGCGTGTTCAGATCCTGGGCTATTTCGTACGTTGCAGTGCGGTGCTAGACGGTATCCTTCGGCAAGATTGCACTCGCTAATACGAGAGTTCGGCTTTCACTACATATACGCTGTCTACTTCGAACCTGCTAAATCTAGCTCATGATATATTAAACCAAACAAACATTTACAGTTATTGGTAACTATCAACTTAAAAGAAGCCTGAACCATTGATTTCATTTCCCATAATAACAAGAAAAAACACAGGAAACTTATTGAGGAGATTCACATCACATGCGCGCAACAGCCATTTCTTTCAATCAAACGCGGGCGAACAGCGGTTTCAGCTGGTCATCGCGACGCAGCGCCGCCGCATCCCATCCCATCTCTTCAGTGAAGAGCCTTCACCAGGCCCATCTCTTCACGAAAGAGAACCCCCCCCACCCACCCCACCCCCTCTGCCTGTGTTCTACCTACCACCATCCACTTGCATTCTGATACCCACACGCTCTCTCTGCAAGGTCTATCTATGCCCCTGCCACTCCCCCCAAAGGGTCCACCCGACCCCCATCATGATCCCCACGTCCCGCACATCCCTCTCCACCAACTGTGCCAACCGCCCCACCGCCTCTGCCTGTGTGGCCACCACCCCCCGCATCCTCTCCAGACTCCACTCATCCACCCTCACTCCTCCCCTCTCTCCGCCCACCCCTCCTGCTCCATTCACACCTGCATCAGCGCCCGTGCCCTCCTGTCCCCCGTCACCCAGCAGGCTGGCAGCTGCGGCGAGGGACTCGACTTTTCGAGGCAACTCCGAGGCTCCACTGCACAGCAGACGCAGGAGAGACTGGGGGGGTGGGGGGGGAGGAGAGAAGGTGGAGTATCGGGGATAGAGAGTGGGGCGTAGGCACAAGAGGCACAGGAGGCAGAAGAGGCACAGGAGGCACAGTGTGAACATAGCTGCTGCTGCAGCTCCTGCATCACCCCCAATGCTTCCCTCCTCCCACCGTCGCCCAGCAGGCTAGCTGAAGCAGCACGGGACCCCACCTTTCAGGGTAAACCCGAGGCTGCACTGCAGAGGACTGTTATGGGGGGGGGGGGGCAAGAGCGGGTGGTGTTGGACGAGAGGAATCAAAGCAGGGCATGGAGAGAGCAGGTGCTGCAAGGGAGTAAAGGGAGGCCGCCTGTGGAGGCAACTCCGAGCTGCACTGCAGAGCAGACGCAGGAGAGACTGGGGGGGTGGGGGGAGAGAAAGGGTGGTGCTAGGGCAGAAAAGTGAGCATGTGGTAAACAGGACAACATGTGCGAGAAAAGGAGCGCACATGCAACAACGAAAAGTCAACTACACTACAGCCCTGGAAATCACCTGAAGTCTGTCTGATAGTAGCAACTCCGCTGGAGAAAGAGGGACATGCGGAGCTGTCCTTAGCTCCATGATCTGATTGGTGGGAGGGGAGGGGAGAGGGCAGGTATGGAAGAGCAACAGATGGGAGGTAGCAGGAAGGGAACAAGCAAGGCAGGGGAGAGAGCAAGGGAGGGGAGAGAGCAAGGGAGGGGAGAGAGCAAGGCAGGGGAGAGAGCAAGGGAGGGGAAAGAGCAGGGCAGGGGAGAGAGCAAGGGAGGGGAGAGAGCAGGGCAGGGGAGAGAGCAGGGCAGGGGAGAGAGCAAGGGAGGGGAGAGAGCAGGGCAGGGGAGAGAGCAAGGGAGGGGAAAGAGCAGGGCAGGGGAGAGAGCAAGGGAGGGGAGAGAGCAGGGCAGGGGAGAGAGCAGGGCAGGGGAGAGAGCAAGGGAGGGGAAAGAGCAGGGCAGGGGAGAGAGCAAGGGAGGGGAGAGAGCAGGGCAGGGGAGAGAGCAAGGGAGGGGAAAGAGCAGGGGAGGGGAGAGAGCAAGGGAGGGGAAAGAGCAGGGCAGGGGAGAGAGCAAGGGAGGGGATAGAGCCGGGCAGGGGAGAGAGCAAGGGAGGGGAAAGAGCAGGGCAGGGGAGAGAGCAAGAGAGGGGAGAGAGCAGGGCAGGGGAGAGAGCAAGGGAGGGGAAAGAGCAGGGCAGGGGAGAGAGCAAGGGAGGGGATAGAGCAGGGCAGGGGAGAGAGCAAGGGAGGGGAAAGAGCAGGGCAGGGGAGAGAGCAAGGGAGGGGATAGAGCAGGGCAGGGGAGAGAGCAAGGGAGGGGAAAGAGCACGCATGGGAGAAAGGGAACCTCTATTCACGCACCCCTCCCCCCCCCCACTCTGTCTTACAGCCATACACCCCACTCTACCCCCCAGCGCACCTCAACCAGCCGCATCAGCCGCAACACCTTCTGCCTCAGCAGCTGCTGCTGCTGCTGCCTCTGTTCACGTGCCACTCACACCCCCCATACACGCTCATTCATTCAACCTCTCAGCGCACCTCGACCAGCCGCATCAGCCGTAGCACTCTCTGCTGCAGTTGCTGCTGCCGCTGTCGCACTGCCCCTTGCCGCCCCTCCGTGACTGCTGCCACGTGCGCCTTGAGCTGCCCCACCGCCCCTTCCACTTCGTCCAGCCTCTGCCGGTCCGCCACTAGAGTCTCATCCTGAAGGGATGGGGTAAGTGGGGTGAGGGGAGGTGGAGGAGACGAGTCCTTGGCTATCACATCTACGGGTTGATCGACGCCCCCTCCGTGACTCTTGCCACGTGCGCCTTTAGCTGCTCCACCGCCCCTTCCACTGCATCTAGCCTCTGCCAGTCAGCCTCTAGGATTCCATCCTGGGGGTGTTGGGGTGGGGGAGGTAGGCGAGACGAGTCCCTAGCTGTCACGTCAAGGGTGGGTGCTATCATCTCAAGGGTTTCATTGGTGCCCGCCTCGACCTACCGCCCCTTCCACTGCGTGTAGCCTCTGCCGGTGAGCCTCTAGGGTTTCATCCCGAAGGGGCATGGGGAAGGGGAGGTGGAGGCCATCACTCCTTCCTTCCCACCTGCACTAGCAGCCGCTTCCACCATCCAAGAAATACGCTAACCATATCCAGCCACAGCCCCTTCCCCTGCTTCCTGTCATTCCCCCTTCCTCCCCCCCCTCCCCCCCCCCCCCGCCCCCCATTCCATCGTTCATACCTGCCTACCTGCCTGCACTTGCAGTCCCTTGAATAAACTCGGGAATCCGCCCGCCATTTCCAATCACAGCCCCTGCCCCTCTTCTCCCTCCCCCCTTACCCCCTCCCCTTCTCCCCAATTCTTCCCTCACTTCCCACCTGCACTTGCAGTCTCTTCGCCAGTCCCGAGAATCCGCACACCATTTCCGGCCACAGCCCGTCCGCCTGGTTTTCCGGCCCAGCCGCCGCCAGCAGGCCAATCGCCTCCTGCCACGTCAGCTCGGGGACGTTGGGCGGGCGGAACCGCGCCAGGGGGTGCGTGACGCTAAGGAAGGGGCACGCGAACCGCCCTAGGGGGTTTCGCGCGTCGCCGAAATACGCGGCGGCTATGGCGGCGACCTCCCTCTCGGGAAGCGCCGCGGACCATGCCGCGGATTGCACCGGGAATTGCGGCTGCTGCATCGCTCCCTGCTGCTGCTGCTGCGGTTGGGCCAGGGTAAGTTGACCGCTGAACCCGGGCGTTGAGGCAGCAGTGCCGAAGGCGGAGGTTGGTGCAGCGCCGAATGCGGAGGTTGGTGCAGCGCCGAATGCGGAGGTAGAAGCGCCGAAAGCGGGCGTCGATGCAGCGCCAAACGCGGGGGTGGAGGCAGCTCCGAAAGCAGGAGTGGACGCGCCGAAAGCGGGGGTAGGTGCAGCGCCAAATGCGGAGGTGGAAGCAGCGCCGAACGCAGAAGTCGCCGGGGACGCGCCGAACGCGGGAGTGCTAGCAGCAGCGCCAAATGCGGAGGGAGTCGATGCAGCGCCGAACGCGGGCGTGGGCGCAGCGCCAAACGCGGGAGCTGATTGACCGAACGGCGAGGGCGTCGCGGAGGGTTGCTGGCCGAAAAGGGAAGGAGTGGCGGGAGTTTGCTGACCGAAAGCCGATGGTGCCGCTTGGGTCTGCTGGCCAAACGGCGAAGGTGCCACTGGCGTTTGCTGGCCGAACAGCGGCGATCCCGCCGCAGAGCCGAACAGACCGCCTCCCGTCGCCATGAGGGGGGGAGGGGGATCCCCGAGCTAGTTAGCGCACCGAACGGATCAACCGTAAGACACGGCGAACGAATCCGACGGAAGAACGTGAGCAGATCACTTCAACGGTCGGGATGGATCGAGACTGCAGTCCACTCGAATCCTGGTCGAATGACCACCGTTGAATCGCTGACGTGGCCAACTCTGCTGGTACTAGACACGTTTTTCGTGAGTCGTGTTCTAGAGACCGCAGCGCGGTCCACACCCTAGCTCGCTACCCGGGACGGTAAATTAGGGTTTCCGATTTTTGGAGCCTTCCTCCATAGAAGCCCTCCTACTGAAATGGTATTGGTTTTAGTTAGTAAGGCGTACACTCCTAGAGCGGGGTTCCTGAATAGCTCTGCCACGAAATTCAAATCGCGGTACACATATGTGGTCTCTCGAAGAGCCGCATGCATTTTGCCCGCCTTGCTGTTTCATGCCTAGAACTAGGCGCTTCGCGCCAATTTACAAACCACACGTCGCAGCTCTGCCGAGCCTCGACCATGTGCCAACGATCCTCAGCCTTGCGCTCAGGTTCAGCTGCAAATACTGACACTTAGGCAGGTTGACGGCCTGTGCTTACTATCAGAACTCAGCCACTAACCACTAAGTTAAAAGGGCTTGTTGACAACGGGTCAGTGCGCCCATAGCCCCCCAGGCACTGCACCTGTAGCCCCTCCCCTGGGCATCTTCTGAAGGGCAACCCCAGCGGGTCTCTCGACGCCCCCCCTTGCTGGGATAGGCAGAGGACACAAGCGCCTCTGCAGCGCTAGCACTGGAAATTGAACCCGAGTCACCAACGCTTTGATACCATATCAACACTTGGCCACTAGCCACTAAGTTAAAAGGGCTTGTTACTAGCGAGTCAGTGCGCCCATAGCCCCCCAGGCTCTGCACCTGTGGCCCTTCCCCAAGGATCTTCTCAAGGGTAACCCCAGCGGGTCTCTCGACACTTACTTCATATCCGCTGTCTTGGGCACCGGAGGCTAAGTGTACTGCGCGGGCATGGTGACACTGCTGTAGCTCGCGCAGGAGGAAGCACCGCAACTGGATGTGCTTTGCCCTGCCCTCGAGTCTAGGCTCCTGAAATAGGAGGATCATGGCCCTGTTGTCAGCGTACAGGGCCGGAGCAGAGCTAGGCCGCTCACCAAAGTCTGTAAGCAAGAAGGTCAACTAGCGGAGCTCCTGTGCCGCCATGGCACTGGGTTAGATCTCAGCCTCACAGCTAGACTGGGAAACAGACGACGAGCGGGTGGACCTCCACGAGATGGCACCTGCACCAAGGCTAAAGCAGTAGCCCTGGGAGGACCTGAGAGTCTCAGCGTTGTCGGCCCAAGAAGCGTCCATGTGCCCGGTAAGGACCACTGGTATGCGTCCTCCTAACACTAGCCCCATGCCCGATATACTTGCTAGTTAACGCAAAACCCTCTTAGCTGCCAACCGTGCAGCGGTCGGTGTTTGCCGGTGGCCACAAAGCGAGCCTGGATGCTGAGAGGGTATGCGAGATTTGGATGAGTGCAAGTCATCAGGTACAGGAGGCAACCCACCAGCTCTGCGTAAGGACCACTAGGATGTACAGACTCCTCCGGAACAGGAGCAGAGAGTCTGTGCTCTACTGGCAGGGGGGTGGGCTTTGCGGAAGAGAATTGAAGACCAAACCTCTGAAAGACCTGGCACACCAAGTTTGACTATGTGAGAATAATGGTGCGTGCTGCTCTATCCCTGGAGATCTGCAAGCCAGAGGAGTAACGCAGCTCTCCTAGGTTAGTGCATGTGTGTCTCCTCAGCAGTTCGGCCTTCACGAAGGCCAGCGCATCTCTGTCTGGATTAGCAAAGTCCAGTTTGTCTACGTAGTCAAGGATGTAGAACAGGGTCTGGCCAGAACGAACGAAGAGCGAGGGGTCCGTAGACGACGGGAAGAACTGCAGGTTAGCAAGCGTAGCACGCAGCGTGTCGTGCCACTGACTGGGCGCCTGGCGTAGGCCGTAGACAGGGCGCCGGAGGAGCCAGTCGGTGCTAGGGGGGAAGGTATCGGAGAAGCCCGGCAGGCGGCGCAGGTAGACCTGCTCGTGTAGACTGCCCTGGAGGAACGCTATGGAGAAGTTGAGGGAGAGCAGCTCATAGTCACGCTGCGCTGCTACGTTTAGCAGCACCCGAAGAGTAGCCATCTTCAGGGTCGAAGCGAAGGTCTAAAAGAAGTCAACACCCTTACGCTGACTGAAGCCCCGAGCAACGTAGCGCGCTTTGTGCTGAGAATGGCCCTGATCCTGTGAAGGTTGTAGAAGTCTGTGAAGCGGCACATCAACGAAGTCTACGGACACGAGCCCTGCAGAAAAGCCCATCGACGAAGAGCAGATTTGTCGACTAGGCGAGGCTCTGCGGGAATTGGCAGAAGAGCAGTTTTCGTTGGTGGCAGAAAAGCGGTTTTGTCGGAGTGGCAGAACAGGAGCGTTTTCTCTGCATGTGACTTCTACAGATTTCTGTGCTTTTGTAGAAGCGGTCTTAGCAGAAACGAGAGTGTACAAGACCCTCTGCTGATTTGGCACCAGGGACCATTCGCAGAAGAGTGGTCCTCTGCAGAAGTATCGCGCATAAGACATTTCAGCGGGCGACCCTTTCGGCAGAAGCGTCTCTCGGAAATGCGTTCCAACAGGACCTCGGGCAGAATGGCGGAAGAACCTGTTCGCGCTGAATTGCGTGATGTCGAAATTCGGCAGGAAGGCAATTCGGCTATCTCTTCTGTTGAAGTCCCCCTCGGCAGAAACGAAATTCGACAGAAGCGCGGCAGAGAGTCATCTCGGACTTCGCTTCTGCGAGCGACCCCTTCGACAGAAAAACGGGGACTTAGTTTTCCTGATGAAGGTGACGTTCCGAAATCGCGAGAAATTTGCGATTTCGTAAGTTAACCACAGAACTGATCTGGACCGAAAACAGCAAAATCTACCTGCGACATTGAGAAATTGAACAAGTGACGCACATTTCATAACTGCGTAAATATGCGTAACATCTGACTGTTTCATGTCTGAAACTGTTAAAACAACTACTTCTGAGTGGGTAAAAATTACAAACTAAGCATATGCTGTAATTTTCACCTGCCATTGCTGACTTGGCAAAGCGTAGCTTAGAGTAGTTATGTAAACGTTCTCGTGCGAACGTTCTCTCCGTGTTCTATGAGGTTCAATGGGGTAGTACTAGTGTTTGCCTTGTGTACCATACTTTGTAATCTTGATTGTAGTGAATTTGTGTGCCCACGCTTTCTAAAGCTACTCAGTGAAACACACAATTCTGAAGGCAACTTTCTCCTTAGAGAACGACAGAGCTAGAGAGCTCTATCTGCGTCAGGCACTACCGCAGAAGCTCCCGTTATAGCAGAAAACTATGCACCTTGAAGATAGGCGGCTCTCCAGGAGGGCACTTCACTTTAAAGAGCCAGCGGCCATCGAATACGTTCACCCCAGGTGGGAGAACTACGTCGACGAAGGTACCGGTGGATCTCCAAGATGCCATCGCCTGCTCCATGACAGCTATCCACTGAGAGGCCCACGGTCCTGAGGTCGCCTCAGCGTAGGTGCGAGGGGCCGGGATGTCAAGGGCGTTTGGGTCACCCTTAGGGACTAGCAAAACAGAGATGGGGAGCGGCCTCGGACAGGAAAGCGAGCTCGTACTGCCTGTCCTCTACGACGTTAGTGCCAAGAGCAGGTGCACACCCGATGGACGGGGGGCAGGCAGGGTGCTAGTCCTGGGGCTAGGACGAACGTGAGCAAGGCAACCCCAGACGTGAAACACAGATGCGTCACTTGGGGACCCGGTCCAGAGAAGGGTCGGCGAAACCTGCGGCCGTTGAGAGTGCGGCCATAGGTTAAGCTGGTGAGCAGCGTAGCGAACTGCGAACGGTTACAAAAAATGGGGTGCAACGGCATGGATCATGGAGGTAGGAGCCACTTCCACGACCAAACCGATGCGTCACTCAGCAACCCCATTATGTTGCGGAGAGTCCGGCAGGGTGTACGTCTGGGTGATGCCCTCCGCACGACGGAACCGACCAAGGCAACTAGGGGCGAACTCATCGCCACGGTCGAAGTGAAGCCGCAGCACAGGGAGACCTCGGTGTACACGCGTAGCGACAAGCCACGGGATAAGAACGTCAGGCACAACGGCCTTCCGCTCAAAGGGAAAAACCATGGTGTAGTGCATGCAGTCGTCGACAAGCAGTAGAAAGTAGCTCTCGCGACGCGGCCCATGGACGGGGGCTGAGCCCCAGACATCCATGTGCAGGGTCTGCAGCGGTGTAGTGGCGGGGGGGAACGAGGAGGAGTGAGGAGCATGGCGGAGCCGGCCCTCGATGCAGGGCGTGCACGGCGGCGCGGGCGAGGGAGGAAACGCAGGGAGCGACGCAGGGGGACGTAAGACAAGACCGTGTTGAGACATATGACGCAGGCGGGGGAGGGCAGGGTGACCTAAGCGGTGGTGCCACAGTAGAGATGGGTGAGTGAGGGACCGACACGCGCAAGCCGCCGCGACAGGGGTAGACGTAGCCACCTGGGGAGAAGCTCCCACCGGGGGGGGGACGCGGTGTCTAGCGTGAACAGGCCAGACACCGGGTCCCGGAGGAACGTGATGAGGGGGCCACCTGAGGCAGCGTCAGTACAGACGGCGTACTGCTCGTGACCAGGGAACGTAGTGGTGACGCCAAGGTCCTGATGACAGCCAACACCAACTAGGTTCCTAAAGAAAGGGGGAATGTGAAGGCTTGTAAGAGAACCCAAGGGGACCGCCGGACAGGGAAGGGTGGTGGAGCTACGTGTAACTACCGGATCTGATGAGGGGTCAGCAAGCGCGACAGCGGTAGGAGCGGCAAGCGGTGTGAGCGCAGTGTGGTCGCGGAAGGAGTAGGCAAACGCTCCAGAGTCGAGTGTGAAGGAGAGTTAAGTAGAGGCGTCCACCAGCAGAGGGGTTAGCGTGGAGCCTAGGCTAAACAAGGCTGAAGGTCCTACGCCTGACGCAGCAGGGGAGCCTAGGCTACACACAATGGACACACCTACACTAGGCAACACGGGTAATAAGAATCAATCACACTAGAGTTATCAACATACATGGCATATAAGGCAGAACTAATCTTATCCATATCCATCTCAAAGATCTGGAGATGACGGCGGAGTGGGCTGTGCCAGTCAGGGAGGTTCGGCTCGAGGCCAAAGTGAAAATAAAACAGGTCGTCCACATGACAAAAACAGTGAGAGGCTGTGTGACCGGCCTTA